TTCTGACGAGTGAGTCAAGCGACACTGACACGGGTTCAGGGCATGCTGGCCACCTGATGTGCCTCTTGGAGAGGTGCAACAGACATTGAGGGGATTGTTGGTGTGAAGTGTATTGGGGCAGCTGTGTAGTGGCTGTGCTGAGGTGCAGGGGGGAGTGAGGAGCCCCAAAGAAGTGTGTACAGAAAAAGTACTGATAAAACACAGTGATCTAATCAGGAATCAGATATGTATGCTGATAGAAGAAGCATGGGGAAGTGCCCACTGTACAAGTTCTTCTGTTACTGATTGTCTGTGTTCTGCATGCTGTTTGCTGTGTTTTGCTTTTTTTTTTGCGGAACCAAGACAAGCAGCTCCTAGCAGAACTATTAATTTTTTCATGCTATTGAAAAGCATGAGGCACATGGAAGGGAAATTGCAATCGGCACATCTACAGTCTTGCAATATACCAAAGAGCATTAACAGTTGCATTCTCAGCGATACTGGCCTCTCTGAACCTGTTTCAATCCTGCGTCGAGGCAAAAGGAAGACGAGACTGCTGGCATCTATGGGACTGCAGTTGAGAGACATCCAGGTGCTGTTTCTGGTACTGATGGTTGTGATTGAACCGTTTCTTCGCTGTGCTGCTGCTGCTGCGGCTGATGGCATGGTCACCCGAACGAGAATGGCCACGCCTGCAGCCGACAACGATCCCTTGGTGAAACTCACGAACTGCTTTCCCACCGTAATACTCAACAGCTTCCTCAACCTGTACACCTGCGAAGTTAACAACGTCCAACCACTGAATGAATCGAAGCTCTTTGCCTCTTACTATCATGGAGAGGGCCTCATTCCTGGATGGCCGGCGACTCTGGACGAGGAAACCAATACCATTACATTCACGCCTAATGGTGGTGCCCCGTCTTCAGGACGTTGGGACTTCGTCATCACGCAGGTTTCTGCTGATGGATTCTCTTACATTCCTCTGACGACCAATAAGAGCATGGACTTCATGATGATTACTGCGACTCGTGCGAATTTTGCTTTACTCTATCCGTATTACGGTATGGGTGTATCGTTTGCACCCAATCTCCCGAGAGGCACCACGGCTTCTGACTACATGCTGGTCCGCTCTTTCAATGGCTGCCGGTACACCACTACAACCTGCACTGACACTGTTGGGTGCTACAGAATGCTGCCACCTGCAAAGCTTCCCCCTCCAGGCAGCTACTGGCTCTGTGTGACGTCAAATGACTGGAACTCCCAATACCTTCTGTGGGATTTGAATCCTCTTGAGGTGAACGTGCTGATAGCCACGCCGCTGTACTTGACAGCTGGTAAAGACAGAAATGTCGTGCTGCAGGATGCGGAATCTGTGGTCAGTGTGTTGAGGCGTGTGTTCCTGGTGCGGTGCCCTGGCAACAACTGCCCCCTTGTGACTACTGGCAGTGGGGAAGATGTGGTGCACCGTGATGCGTGTGTGAACACCTCCAGCTCGTCGCGTGTGTACCTGTCTGACGACCGTGTGCTATTGACAGAAGCTGGTGTGTACGCTGTGTGTGTCGATGATGGTGGTGATGGAGAGTACACTGCTCCCGCTGCGCTGCCGGTGGCGGTACTGGAGAAACCCTTTGCCTTCAGGATAACTGCTGACACGGACCGGAACACCGCTACGATTGATGTTACTGGCGGTGACCTCAAGTGGCGCAGAGAGCCGTACACGGTGTGCGCTGTGCCACAGGATGAAACATGTGATTCCGTATATGCGGGGCGGTGTGTGTGCGAGAAGAGTGGGTTGTCGTGGTCATCATCTGTGTTCATGGATCTCACCAACAGGGGAATGCTTGTTACGGAAGTGAGGTTCTGCTTCATTGCAGCCAACGTGACAATTGGAGGACGCACCTACACACAGATGCAGGATGTGTTAGAGAATGTGCCGGAGGATGATGTTGAGTCGACCACAGGAATGTCTGGTGGAGTAATCGCCGGGATTGTCATTGCCNGTGTGCGCTGTGTCACGGGATGAAACATGTGATTCCGTCTCTGCGGGGCCTCGTATGTGTGAGAAGAGCAAGTTCCCAAATTCATTTTCTGTGTCTATGGATCTCGCCATCTGGGGAATGCGTGTTGAAGATGTGAAGTTCTGCTTTATCGCAGCCAACGTGATGATCGGAGGACGCACCTACACGCAGATGCAGGATGTCTGGGAGGATGTGCCGGAGGATGATGTTGAGTCGACCACAGGATTGTCTGGTGGAGTAATCGCCGGGATTGTCATTGCCGGCATCGTTTTGTTGAGTGTTCTGGTTGCCGCTGTGGTGTATGTGCTGCGCCAGCGACGAAAGAAGAGAAGGGAGTCACTGGACTCTGGCACACCACCCTCGCCGACGGTGCCACACTCTGTGCAGAGGCAACCAAATCCGCTGACAACTGTCGCTGCCGACACTTCCCCGCCCCCGACTGTTCCTCCGCAAGACGATGGTGCTGCCCAGGTGCCTGTTNGTGGTGTATGTGTTGCACCAGCGACGAAAGAAGAGAAGGGAGTCACTGGACTCTGGTACACCACCCTCGCCGACGGTGCCACACTCTGTGCCGAGGGAGTCAAATCCTCTGACAACTGACACTGCCGAGACTTCCCCGCCCCCGACTGTTCCTCCCCAAGACGATGGTGCTGTCCAGGTGCCTGTTGCTGAACAATTAGGCAACGCAGTGGAGCGGCACATGGACCCCACAAATATGCAAGAGTTAATGGATGGGAATTCGGTTCCTTTTGCGGACATACAAGAAGACAATGCGACCAATATAACAGAAAGTGTTTCAGATGTCAATGACAACATGAGTGACAGCGAGACAGAGAACATGCAGAATGAATATACATTATCTATTGTTCTATACTGTCGGCTTCTTATCATGATGATTGGGGATCATGTGAAATGGTTCTATACCACAATAACGAAGGGAGGGGATAGTGGTGACATTTCTCAAACTCCGAGTGCTCTTCATGAACGCAATGAAGACACGGAAATACTGGATAAACAAGCGTTGGAATGCCCTGACATGGAGCTTGAATCGGGTCTTAGAGGCTATAGTGCGTCTTCCTCCAGTTTGCCAAGTGGGCCTTCAGAAGGCGTGGCCCTCCCGCCACTGACGGATGAAAATTTGAATTTATTTCGACCAAAGAAGAAAATAATCACCAACCCTGTTGGAAGACTTAAGGAACTGGAGGAGTGTGAAAGAAATTATCCTGGATGGTTCAAGTATCTTTACAAAGAGTATTTGGCCGACAAAAGGGCATTTCTTGAATTTATCCTAGGGTCAACTAACGCTGTCAGTAGTGAAGACATGGATCTTTACGATCCACATGGAGGAGATTACCAATGGCTCAATGAGACACCCTCTGTGCGTTCACCGGATAATCATGACCCATCAAACGACGAGGATAATTGAAGTGTGTGGTGCATTATGAAGGTGATTCCCAATCTGCCAATGCTTTGCCCAAATAAACAACACCACGAGAGGAAGAAGGAAATCTCCAAATCCTGAGCCCCATGCTGTCCGCTTTCATTGTTCCTCTTACCACTCTGAAGGATGCTCCTTTCCTCTCCCCTTTGCCCAGCGTCCCTCCATCGCAATGATACCTGGACCAGGAACTGTTTCATCTGGTGTTGCGTTGGGCGGTGCGAGTTATCGGAGTAGATGCACATGAATGGGGGAGTGTTGAGGGGGTATCAATTCCGATGAGGTGAACTTATCGAAGGATTATATGATAGTCTTCCAAGAGAAGGAAATACAGGATAAAATGTCTCTCTCTCTGTGTTTTTATTTTGTTCATGTGTGTATATGTGTTTTTGTATCTCTTGAGACCTGTGTGACGCCGCGCGACAGTGGCAGCTGTGACGATAAGGCATTTGTATTCAAAGCCTGACACAACGATTGCAGGTGCAGGAATGAAGAAGGCGGAGCTGTGTGGCATCGACGCCCTGTGCACCGCGTTTCTCTCATTTCCCACCCCCCTGGTGCGATTGCTGTCGGCCATTGTAAGCAAAACAAAAAAAAGTATCGTGATCTCCATAGAGCAGATGATGCATGTGCTGTATCGTACTTGTTGCGGCGTGCAGGACATCGAGAAAGTGAATGCGATGAGAGAGATTTCAACACAACAAACAAAGAAGATGAGAAGGACTTGCCTGTGCAATCGACGAAAATAGTATTCAGGTCGACACAAGGAGTAGTCGTTGAGTGTGGTGGAGCTGACTTCACACTGAGCAGTGTTTTTCTTTATCATTGCTTTACTATGTTTTGGATTATTTTATTCCACAGTGATCACTAAGAGGAGAGTCATGGGACTATGCGTGAGGTGCCGTGACAATTCCCCCGTATCGAAGAAACAAAACAAACACAACGTCAAACGAAAACTGAATTGAGTGAAGTATATGATTTCTACTGTGTGAGTGGCTGCCGTAAGGTAAAAAGAAAAAAAAAGATGAGAAATAAAAGAAGGAAATATGAATAAAGAAATGCATGATACAGGGCTGGCAACCCGTTGTTTCGTTATTATTTTGTTTTCCCTCCCAGTGGTGGTGGTGGTGAAGGTAGAGCCATGGTGAGCTTCCAGGAGGAAGACTAGCAATGCCGGCCGCACAACACTGACCACCGTGTGCGTAATGACTAATAGTACACCCACCTCTCTGTTTATTTGTTTTCGTTTCTGTCATTGTGTGAATCACTGCGTTTATTATGAAGAAAAAGACCCTTAGATGACGTTGTGTGAGTCTGTGAGAGTGAGTGTGTCTGCCATTCTCTCTCTCTCTCTCTCTCTCTCTCTGCGCTGTTCATTTTCTTCTCTCCCCTTGCTTGCACTCTGATCCATAGGGGGATACCATGCGGTGTGGTGCTGCCGAGCTTCCCCACGAGCCACGTGAGCAGGCTGCCACTAACTAGGGTGCACGGTGCACACTGCCGACCATTACAATGGGGGGCGGTGCAAACACCTTGGAATGCGTCCACATCTTTGCGTCTTTCTGGGGTGTATTTGGACTATTCGGACCACACTGGACGATAGCACTGTGTTTTTGGTGGTGTTGCAACTGGAGAAACACCGCCATCTCAGCTTTGTGAGTGTGTGTGTGGTGTGATGGGAGTGGTGTGCGCATGATTTTCCACTCTGGTGCTCTCCGAAATGACACTGTGGGGCTCCCGCCCAAACAGCTCCTTGGGAAACCAACGCGCCTCTCTGCACATGTATCGTGTGTCTCTGCTTTTTTGGGAGACGAAAAGAACAGTGAACGTCGGGGTATGTGGTTTCCGTTCTAATAAGGGGAAGTTCTCCACATAATTGCGATACGATCGTGTTGTGCCGCCTCTTCCCAGAGAGTGTTCTCTGCTCTGGGCGCACCAGCGATGTCGCTGAGCCACCACATGTGTCGCATGGTGGTCGACGACTTTCTATGGGGAATGCGCGTGACTAGGCATCCCCCAATTAGGGGGGAGGGGGGGAGAAGAGGGTGAAACACAGTTGGGAGAGCATCGTGTCGTGAGGAATTATGTGAGTATGAGTATGAATATGCGGCAACAACAGCCTCATGTGATGCCATGGGATGCTGTCTGTTCAGAGGTGAGAGATCCAGTTAAATGGGTTTTCCGTTTGTGATCAACACCATGGGTGAAAGGTGTTGTGGGTGGGGCCTTGCGTGAGCCTATTTGAGTGATGAGTAGCGGTGACTCT